AGCACCTCTTCTTGGAAGCCATGCCTCTATTAGCACTGCGATCATAACCGATTTCAGCGATTAGTGGCGTCACTCGCTGCAAATAAGGAATGGGCTTTGGTGGCAATCATTAGCTTCCTTTAGATTTAAAAAAAATTCTAGTTAATATTTTGGAAATTTATTCGACAGACAACTTTTACTGTGCGTCGTCGCGTGGCTTTGAAAGAACGGGGGCACAGCGAAGTCTTACTTGCCATCTAATTGCCTTGTTACGCCAGCTGCGACAGCGCGCGCCGCTCACTTATGGGCGCGATCGACTTCTTACAGCGTTAACTGTTCTATGACGGTGTTACGGGTGGCCTGCCCAAACCGAGCACGCGAAGCAGAAGCGATGGTCGATCGATGTGCTATCCACACTCTCTAGTCATCCCTCTATCTCGACGTATCATGGCATGTAGGACAATCCCTCGATCGATTAATAGCGTCAGTGGTAAAAGGGCTGCAGCACTGGAAAAACAAAGGTGCTATCTCCTACCTTTTAAAGGCACTAATCTTTTAGTGGCACTAAAATTGCCTAAGGCACTAATTTTTAGCACCTTTTGAGCTGTTTAGTGCCTTGGTGAAGCACTAAGCTGAAAATGTGTTGGGTACCCCAGGAAAGGCACGACTTGGCACCTTTGTTTTACCACTACCAGTGAGCTCGCCCGAACGATTTTCCGACGTCGTCCTACCCGTGGCAGATGGCGTGTTACCGAGGGGTACGTCACTGCGGCAATGAGTGTACCTCTGACTAAAAGTGAGAAGATAAGATGTGGTGATTCGGAGAAATGACTGGATGCAGCGGCAAAAAAAAATCACTGGACGTGACTAGTAAATGACTGATGAATAACTAAACGAACAATTCAATCCAAACAATTGAAACAGAAATTTAGTTGTTCACTTTGCATAGAAGTTTGTTCAAATTTTAATTTAACCATGTACAAATCGTAAAAAGCTATGCTTAAAGCGTATAATATGTTCCTTCAGGTTTTGCGTGCAAAACCTGAAGCATGAATTTGGTGTCGGGTGTAACTGAAAAACTGCCAGGCTAAATGACAAGAGGATGGTAGTGGGAAATGGATGGTAGTGGGAAATGGATGGTAGTGGGAAATGGATGGTAGTGGGAAATGGGTGGACTAGACTGGGAAAATGACTAGAACATAGAAGCCATGTTCACTACTCACTGGAAGAAGTGTGCACCCCTCGCGTGCGTTACCGACCGCCGACTACACCACATTATTGTGCGTGCGTGTGTGCGGCATGGTGCTGCGGGAGGATGATCGGTCGTATTGGCGACAGTTTACTTTGTTCGCGCGGCCTTGTCTTGGCGCCACGCCACGCCCCGCCACGCTCCGCCCCGCCACGCCCCGCCCCGCCACGCCCCGCCCAGGTGCGCAATGCTTTTCTGCCCCCGGTTAGTATTGTCACGAGCTGGCGCCATGGGGCGGAGCCGGACGTTTTGCATTCCGCTAACCCATACCCCACCTCCTTGTCTTTATTGTGCTCCTTCACACTCATCAAGGCCCGCGGCCGCGCGACTTCAATGACGAGTGATTCGCCGCAAAGTTTTGCCGATTTCCCTCCGATTGAAGTGGACGATCATCCGACACGAGACTGGCGGTACAAAGTCTGCTGGACATCTCCCTCTTTTTCCCAGCCGCGTCGCTGGTGTAATCGGACGCCTCTGGCGCCTCTGGCTCTAGAAAAGCAATAAGGGGCCGGGGCCTGGCCGGGGTCTGGCCGGGGCCTGGCTGGAGCCTGGCTGGATCCGGCAGGGCGGTGTGTACCAATGAAACGATGTAATCAACGTTCATCCCTCTCTCGACCCCACTCGAGTTCCGGTTACACCGACTCGGGAATCATCAGGCTGAAACGTAAGGGGATAACGCTGTGCAAATGTTTCGTGCAGTTGGACAAAATAAAAATTCATCCAAGTTAACATACAAGTTTGTTACTAGCGTCTGGATTCAAAACTACATCTTGAAAAATGTGCAAACAGCAGATGCATCTCATGGAAAGAGGCAATGGACAAAAATTTTCTAGCAAATTTGCTAGCAAATTAACAGGCAGACAAATTCCGCCACGCTTTATTTATCGACTGAAAAAGGTGGACGCTCACGCTCTGTGAGCGCACGTGGC